ATCATTTCTTAAAATTCGAAATGTCATTCCTGTTAGATACCTCAACAGTATTTATTTCTGTCTTTTTTATTCAAATTTACAATATCTAATATCTATTTAGGAAAGTACGTTTGAAGCCACTCATGAAATTACAAAATGAAACAATAAAGTGCATTTTTAATTTACTTTTTTAGAATCAACTGTGAATCTATACAAACCTAAAGACTTGTTGAATCTAGTTTCATTATATGAACTCTAAATTTTTTGTTTTATTCATTTTGTGAAACAAGGCAATTTAATTTATTGATAGCAAATAATTATAATTCAAATTTTGGTAAACAATGGAATGATTTTATATAACTCCTTGCCTAAAGAGTTGAAAAATATAGATCAGAAAATTTTGAAATAAAATTAAAGACATATCTGCTTACTAAACTTTAATTCCATATCTACTAATCATTCACAATTTGATTACTTGTAAGCGAGCTTGTAATATACTTGTAATTTTTTTATGAAAAACAATAATTGTGCAATTATTATTGTCTCGATTTATTATGTTATATGCGAGGTTATATGTATGTTTTGTTGCATATATCCCTATTATAAACAATAATGTTTCTTGGGGTAATAAAGACAATCAATCAACACACTTACCATGTTGAAAAGAGACAACTTTCATGCACCCAAATGAAAATAAAATCACTACACCGGAGATAATTTTTAGTTTTCCACTTTCAATAAATGGAGTTCTTTTTTTATCACTCGAATAAACCGTACGCGTTGAAATCTAATACGAGACTGGATGGCCGATTGGTTTGATTCTAATGACTAATTAGTTACGTCATCCTTTCATCCGGTTGAATCCCAAACTAGTATGACTAATATCGATATCGATAGGAGATATACAGTGTGGGGTGAAAAGAACTTCAATATACATTGTAACCGTTGAAGTCCGCATCATATAGATTTTTTTTACTATTTAGTTTGTGCAAATCAGTATTTCATGAACTGTTCTTACTTTGGAAAAAGTGCAAAATGATGTTGATGATTTTTGCAAATCATTAAATGTCGAATTAGACATTAATAATTAGACATTTTCTGTCAGACAATCACAAAGTCAAAAAATCAGTCTTTCGAACAAAACAAATTTTGAAGTGTCACATGAATTCATTATTAGTAGATAAAAAATAACTATTGGAAATTCTTGATACATATCGATCTTCGGTTTAAATTTTCATAAACTATCGTATTTTTGTTCACCTGTACTAATTTCAAGTAACTTTTGATCCTTTTTTGTAATCAGCTCAGCAGAAAAATCCGAAAATCGAAAAAAAGGGATTTCCAATAAAAAAAAGTTACTCATGAAGTCATCACACGAAGTTATTTCACCCTGTATATTAGATTGTTATTAAAAAAAATGGTAAATTGAAATCAGAATTGATTTAGGAAACTTCGGTAGTACTGATAGTAGAAATCGGAGTTTACTTTATTCAATTCCACGTTAAACCGTTTTATACGAAATCTTATGAGCTCTATACAGGGTTTTCAAATATAAGTCGACAATCTTGCGAACTTGGTTACTATTGGAGCTATCAAGTCAGGTAAATGGACAAAGTAGTAGTATTTTGGCAAAAATCAAACAGGAGTCTAACATAGCGTTCACGAGTTACGTGAAAAAGTTCAATGTCTTTAAATGGGACACCCAGTATACAATATTTCTCAATCAATAGGAAATTTGATTGCGAATTATGTATTGATTTTAAAGCAAGTGCAGTGCCCTCCAGACTATTGAGTTGCGATCGTATACCTTTTGCAAATAATTTGTCCTACAGTCTTCACAAAATGGAAAATAATATTGCACCTTGTTCTATTGATTTCTATCCAATCACTCCGTATATGAATAGGAAGAAAATTATAAAAAAATCACTCACCATATCTAAAAGGAGAACAACAACAATACAAAACATCCCAGTCTTTTTATTGCTGGAAAATTCCACCAGAACTCACTCACAGACACACAAACGTTTCACTATAATCACTCAATGACACCATACATTTTGATTCCCACGTGTAAACAATATAAGTTATTTTTCGAAATCGATCAGATCGACTGCACGCGATGAAATCTAATACAATACTGCGTCGCCACCGGTATCGGATGCATGATTAACCTCCATAGTGATTCATCAGTTACGTCATCATTCTAACCGAATAATTCTCGAATAGGAATTGTATTTCTGACAAATCACAAAAATAATGTATACGAGGTGTGGTTTAGAAGGAAATTCAATATACAGTGTCATCGTTACGTCACGCAAATTTGATGTTCATGAATTGTTTTGTCCCTGGAAATGATTCGGAATTTCGTCAATCTCGAAGTTTGTTAGAAAAAATAACAAATAAAGTGGGTTGTTTCACAAAATTTTATATCCACTTAACAAATTTCAACAATTTCAATTTTTTTCCTCAATTTTCGGGCCATTGTGATTTCTAATAATTCGAAAAGGTCATTCAAAATGTGGAAAACTCATCAGCAATAACAAATCCATTGAATATACAAATGTAACATCATTTGAGGAAAAAATTGAATCCTATTGCTGGTATTATATATAAAATTCGAAATGTCGTTCCTGTTAGATACCTAAACAGTATTTATTTCTGTCTTTTTTATTCAAATTTATCTTATATGTATTTGGGGAAGTACAAATATTTCACGTTTGAAGCCACTCATGAAATTACAAAATAAAACAATAGAGTGCATTTTTAATTTACTTTTTTAGAATCAACTGTGAATCTATACAAACCTAAAGACTTTCTGAATTTAGTTTCATTATATAAACTCTAAATTTGTTGTTTCATTCATTTTGTCAGGAAGAAATTGAAAATATCAAATTTGAACTTTAATGAAGTTAATACGATTCACGCCCATGAAACAAGGCAATTTAATTCATTGATAGCAAGTAATTATAACTCGAACTTTGGTAAACAATCAATATTCCATAATGGAATAATTTTATATTACTCTTTACCTAATGAGTTGAAAAAAATTTAAAAAGCAAAAAAATTTTGAAATCAACTTAAAGAAATATCTGCTTAGTAAACTTTAATTCCATATCTACTAATTATTCACAATTTGATTACTTGTAATGGATTATAATATTTTCATTTTATATTTTATTATAATTTTCTATATGAAAAACAATAATTGTGCAATTATTATTGTCTCGATTTATTATGTTATATGTATGCTTATAGTTGTATATATCCCTATTATAAACAATAATGTTTCTTGGGAAAATGAAGACAATCGATCAACACACTTACCATGTTGAAAAGAGACAACTTTCATGCACTCAAATGAAAATAAAATCACTACACCGGAGATAAGTTTTAGTTTTTCACTTTTAATAAATGGAGTTCTGATTTTTATCATTCGAATAAACCGTACGCGTTGAAATCTAATACGAGACTGATGGCCGATTGGTTTGATTCTAATGACTAATTAGTTACGTTATCCTTTCATCCGGTTGAATCCCAAACTAGTATGACTAATATCGATATCGATAGGAGATATACAGTGTGGGGTGAAAAGGACTTCAATATACATTGTAAACGTTGAAGTCCGCATCATATAGAATTTTTTTACCATTCAGTTTGTGCAAATTAGGATTTCATGAACTGTTCACACTTTGGAAAAAGTGCAAAATGAAGTTGATGATTTTCATGTGGGGGAAAGTACTTTTGTCACTCGTATGTCTGCATCACTCGCCCTTCAGGCTCGTGCCACACTTGTTGCACAATATATTATTTCCGCACTAGTGCATCTTCAAATTTGTAGGGTGATAAGCACAATGAAAAAGTATACGTGATTTTTTATCATATTTACCTCGCATATTTTGTTCAATTCACCGATTTTCCAGTTCGGGAAGCTTACAAATTGAAATTTGCCATCTAACTGATTGGCACAGCCTAACACAGCACATTTCGCCATTTTTTTCAAAAGAGAATAGGAAAATATCGTATTCAGTAAATAATATCCTTATTTAATCGTAAAATGTTTTTATTTTCTTGACTTTTATAATCATTAACATTCAGAAATCATTCGACACTGTCAATATTTTCTTTCTCCAACAATATACGAAGAGTATTGGGAACGAATAATAAATATCATTACTAAATTACTAGCTGACTTGGCAAACGTTGTTTTGCTATGCACAATATTTCTAGAAAATATTCTTTTAGTAAAATATTTACCAGCACACTTTATTAATTTCATTTTCTACTTCTTTTCAGTTCTGCTATTCATAAAAGCGTGTTTCTTTAGTTTCTCAAGATACTATTCATTTTATACTCGTTTTCAGCTCTGCAATCTATCTCTTCAGTTTTTTAAACTACTATAAACTACTACTTCTCCTCAATTCGACTAAGTATCTACGAACGCATGTTCAATTGATTTTTCAAACAACTATTTATTACAAAGCTCGTTCGCCATATTGGATCCGCCATCTTGAATATCCCAATTTTGACAATAAATCATAAAGTTCGACCCCCCTCCGAAAACCCCCAGATACCAAACTCTAATAGAATCAAATCATAATTAGAAATGTCTTTCGCAATATTCGCGATAGAAAATAAGCGTACGCCACCTGTCGGAGTTTTTGAAAGCTTTCAAAGCGGCATGTTTACTTTGTTCTCATTGGTTCACATTTGTTTTTTGTTTGTGCTTATTGGTCATTGGCGTCAGACGAATTCGATCCATCATCCTGAATTTTACAATTTTCACGAAAAAATCATTCTCTCCTACCCCGAAAACCCCCAGATACCAACTTTGAATAGAATCGGATCATAATTACAAAACTCCCCATATGATCTTCCTCAACAAGTAAATACCCCGTACATACCTATTATTAAAATGTTGAATGATTTTCTGTAGAGTCCCTGTATATACAGGGACTCTAATTTTCTGTAGCGCCCATGGACGTGAGGGACCCACGGTCACCAATCAAATCTGACAATGAGGTTTGGGAATGGTTCGAAAACTTTAGGGTCTCGTCTTTAATTTGGCCAAACACGTACCGGAAATCTGTCGGGTTTGTCAATGTCAACATTGTCAACTATACTATCTGTCAAGTGTCAAGTGACTCTTCTATTTCCTTTCGTAATTTTTCATGATGCAGACTGGACAAACACAAAAGGTAATTTTGAAATAATGTTAATATTCACATAAAATATTGATCATATCACCAGAAATCTATCTCATTTCATCTTTTTTGTTACAGCCCAAAAAGGAACCAATCCATTCTGTCCAAGTGTTTGGCAGAAAAGTGAGTGTACAATACATACTTAACCTTATTGCTACCATTTTCACACGTGTTTTTTGTTCTATTCTTTGCATATTTCTTCAAATCCATCACAGTTTATCCTAATGCCTACCATCTATTTCAGAAATCAGCGACCGCTGTTGCTTATTGCAAACGAGGCAGAGGTGTACTCAGAGTAAATGGCAGACCTTTGAGCCAAATAGAGCCAAGAATGCTCCAGGACAAACTACAAGAACCCATCCTACTCTTAGGAAAGGTATGCAAACACATCTGATATCATTTTCAATTGTCAAATATGTTTAGTCAGGAATGAAGGAAGTATTTTTTATTATTAGGACAAGTTTTCTGCAGTGGACATTAGGGTAAGAGTGAATGGTGGTGGACATGTATCACAGATTTACGCCATCAGGCAAGCAATCTCCAAAGCCTTGGTAGCATATTATCAGAAATGTAAGTATTTTTTTAATTAAGGTATTCATAGGCCCAAGTGTTGAGTTAGTGATTCAGTATTCAAAGAGATATTCACATTTAGTTGTCTAGAAATGTGTTCTAATATGTGATTTTTTTGAAGATGTTGATGAGGCCTCAAAAAAAGAGTTGAAAGATATCCTTATCCAATATGACAGAACTCTGTTAGTTGCTGATCCTCGTCATTGTGAACCCAAGAAGTTTGGTGGTCCAGGAGCCAGAGCTCGCTACCAAAAATCCTACCGTTAAGTTCCATAGCTGTAATATTGTGTTTTTTGTATTTATGAGGATATTTACAATAAACATAATTCATTTATAAATGAATAATCTAATTCTTTACATCAGTAACATGATTTCCTATGATGCATTTTACATTCTGATGAAAAATCCCTATAGTTTTCACGACATGTGGGACTATTTTCAAAAATTAGTTAAGATTTTGAAGGGTTCAAGCACTAAAAGAAATAACTTAGAGCTGTTTACTAATGAGCTATATTAAAACACAAATAGGAACATCATATTGACTAGTAACTGTTAGTAATATACAATAAAGTAACAGTACAAAATAAAATAACAGTACAAATATTGTACAACATTTTACCTTCAAAAGGAGAAATGAAATTCTCAATTTAATTGATTTTTTGCAATACAAAATTGAAGATTCATTAGGTTAACCTAGAAATCTTGATTGATTTAAAAAATTATTGAAAACATTTTGATGAAATAGAAAGTTGTGAAAAACAAATATTATGACATCTGTTGTTACTATTGAGAATGATCAGAATAATAATAATGGTTGGCTTTCATGGAGATGAAAATATTGCAAAACTCAGGCCACAATGATTTGATTTTTGAAAAGGTGGCATTTTAAAATTATGTGATTGATGAGTAAAACTTCCATCCAATATGACAAATGAAAGATTCAGATAAAGGGAATTGAAATTTTTTGAACTTATTCCTCAAGGAAAGATGCAAGAACATACAGTGTGACCCATTTAAGACTGGAGCACCCTCATAAAATCTATAGTTTTTGACCGATTTCTTTTTTTTTATTTCAGCAGAAGGACTATCTGGAGATCTACGTTTACACAAATTTGCAAAATGAAATTTCAATCTACAGGGCATACTATATTATTTTTTTCAAGTTAAAAATTGCGAAATTTCATTAGCGATTTTTTTCAAAAAAAAATCGACCCCACCACTGAATTCAGCATCATTCAATTAGGTTGAGCGCGAAATTTTATTGAAAAATTTCAATTGGCAACAAAGTTATAACAACATTAATTTTGATGGCTCACCATTTTTTATGAATATTTCAGACAAATTCTGAGAAGCGGCAACATTGTCAACACAAATGTTGGAAATCATCGAGGTTTCTGGTATACATTTGAATTGATAACACAAATTATTATTGAGTTATGATCTCTAGAATGGTACCCTTTTGGAATGAAGTAATGAAGTCGGAAAAACAGCTTTCCATAATAAGTTAATTATCAATGAAACCAACAATTTCTGAAAGCTCTTGATGTTTTTGGCTTCTGATATTATCTTACTATACAGACTATCCGATTTTCTTACTCTAATTACTTGGATGAACAAGGCCGATTTTTCGACGTTATGGATTTTTCATTTTATTCCATTTTAGATGTTATAGCTCGATAATAATTTGTGTAATCAATTCGAATGTATACCAGAAACCTATTGATGGTTTTCAACATTTTAGTTGGCAATGTTGCCGCTTCTTTAATGTTGTTATAACTTTGTTGCCAATTGATATTTTTCAGTGAAATTTTGCGCTCAACCTAATTGAAGGATGCTGAATTCAGTGGTGGGGTCGATTTTTCTTGGAAAAAATCGCTAATGATGTTTTGCAATTTTTAAGATGAGAAAAAATAACATAGTATGCCCTGTAGATTGAAATTTTATTTTGAAAATTTGTGTAAACGTAGATCTCCGGCTAGTCCTTCTGCTGAAACAAAAAAAAAGAAATTGGTCAAAAACTATAGATTTTATAAGGGTGCTCCGTTCTTAATAAGTGGGTCACACTGTATATGATCTGTTTAAGAAACATGAAATTGATATGCACTGGTAGTGTGAACTTGAACTATTGCATTTCCTTAGTAATTCAGTAAAATTTCTTCTTCTTTATATGAAAAGGAAAAACAATAGAATTAATTTGAAAAGATATGTTCTTGAATGACATTGAGTAATGTCTATTTTAAGCTAAATTTTCATATTTTTCAATATTTGGGAACTGAAATATTGACAATTGAAATTGATTTTTTCTGGAAATACACTTATATTTTGGCATATCTTGATAGGTGCTGACTTATATGAACATATTTTATGTAGAATAAAATGTGCAATCTTCTGTTGAAATATTTATAACTAAATAGGACTTTGCCAGGAAGAAAAACTCTTGTTCCTTCTTTTATTTATTTTTTGCCTTTTTTCTCATTGTTTTTTCCATCATTTTGATCTTTTTTGCAACATTGTTATTTTGTTTTCAAAGATTACTTGTTCAAATGATGATGATTGTGACTTTTTTAAAAATATTTTCTTGTTTTCCAATTTGCCATAATACAGGGTGATTTACGATGGATGGCACATTAGACGTTTCTGGAAAACGCAACTCAGGATTATTCTGAAAAGTTGGTGCCTTGGATAATTAGTTGTGTTCTATCGACCTAAAATATTCTCAGCGTTGCGACGTTGCCGCTTATATTGAAAAGTAGCAACAACTTTGATTTTTTCAATGGAACACCTTGTATATCATTCCATTTTCAGATTCTTCCTGAAGAGCTGATTCCATCGATGTATCACACTTGAGGTCTAGCGGGAGTGATAACAAAGATGTAGGGTGTGAAAAATCGAAATTTTTCGACTTTGAGAATTTTTTGTGTCGAAACTATTCATCATTGGTCAAAACGGTTTTCATGTCCCTATCTTAACTTTTTATGTACTATCAATTGATATTCAATTGAAATAGATACAGGGTGGTCAAAAATCCTAATTTTGAACCACAATGTATTTATTTTAATTAAATATCAATTGATAGTACATGAAAACTAAGATAGGAAAATGAAAACCGTTTTTATCAATTATGAATAGTTTCTACACAAAAAATTCTCGAAGTTGAAATAATTTCGATTTTTCACACCCTATATATTTGTTGTCATTCCCGCTAGACCCCAAGTGTAATAGATCGATGGAATCAGCTCTTAAGCTGAAAATGGAATGATATACAGGGTGTTTCATTGAAAAAAATCAAAGTTGTTGCTACTTTTCAATATAATCGACAACGTCGCAACGCTGAGAAATTTTAGGTCGATAGAACACAACTAATTATTCAATAAGGCACCAACTTTTCAGAATAATCCTAAGTTGCGTTCTCCAGAAACGTCTTATGTGCCATCCACCGTAAATCACTCTGTATATCAAAATAATTGTAATAATAAATATTTAACCAGAATTCGATGATGTCATTACGTCAGTTTCCAAGTATAAAAAATATGCAAATTTGGCTCAAAGTGTATCTTGTCAAAAAGCCATTCAAGAACCTCTTTTCACATTATTTTACCGTTCTTCCTCCTCTTTCAATATAGCTGATACGTCAAGTTTATCTCACCCTGTACTTATGAAAAGCAGAGATTCACGGCTTGACTTGATATTCAAGCTACTTGACTTGACTTGACTTGAAGTCAAGTCAAGTTCAAGTCAAGCGAAAGTTTTTCAATGTCAAGTCAAGTCAAGTAATTATGTATCAAGTACTTGAAAAATCAAGTAGTTCTATCAAGCTACTTGATTTTCAGCAGTTTTATTGTGTATCTATACAGCGTGACTCACGGTCGATGTTATAGGTTAGACGTTTATGGAGAACGCGACGCGGGATTTTTCTGAAAATTTCGCATACACAAAAAATTCCTGAAGTTGAAAAATCTCTATTTTTCGCACTCTATATCTCCATAATCTTTTCCGCTATACCCCGAGTGTGATGTATCGATGAAATCAACTCTTCAAGGAGAATCTGAGAATGCAATAAAATACAGGGTGTTCAATTCGAAATAACAAAGTGGTTCCTACTTCTCTATAGAAGCGGCAACGTCGTGATTTTGAAAATGTATTAGATCGATAGTACCGGTGATGAAATGTGAGATGCGAAATTTTCAGAAAAATCCTGCGTTGCGTTCCTATCATAAACGTGAACGTCTAACACCATCGACCGTGAGTCACCCTGTATATAACTGATGAAATGAAAATGACATCGTAAGACTGACTGCGCGATCGATTCAGTCAGCTCGGATCTCGGGGAACCCCCGTATTTTGTCTAAGCGTGAGCGAGCTTGCAGAAATATACGCCGTGCGACTCGTGTGTATCAAGATCAAGTATTATCAAGTAGCTTGATTTCAAGTCAAGTAATAGATATCTCAAATTCAAGTCAAGTCAAGTACGTAATTTGCCACGAGCTTGATTTTCAAGTCAAGTCAAGTAGTTTGTTAAAATATCAAGCTACTTGACTTGATGAATCTCTGATGAAAAGTATAAAGACGCCCAACTTTTCTCCTTTTGAAAATATTCCATATAAATTTTCAGTTGTTATTATTATCATTATGTATCAAATCCATATCGATCTTGGCTCCCATCCTCTTCAATGCGATTATGGTGTTGACCGCCTTAATCCAACGCCTCTTGATCACGTATCGTTTGAGTTTGGATTTGCTGAGCTCCTGTTCTGAGTGCACCGTTTCAATGAGCAGCCAAGGATGCCTCAGAGCTTCCTCTGGTGAAGGCCTAACACTGAAAATCATACTCTTATATTTAGAGCTTCACGACAATTTTCGTTTTATGACAGCGAAAATTTCACACCGAACATTTTCGATCAATTTAAAGCCTGTATTTTGTATCGTTACCATAGCAACTAAACAAATTTCTTGGAAATTTTTTCCTCCTAGGGGGACGGAGCATGAAATTACACCGGAAATTTTTTGACGTTTATAGGCTAAATGACATTTACATTCAACTTCAGATTATTTCGAGTTAATTCTATAAGTCAATAAATAAAAATCATTTGCCAACAGTTTACCATAATATTATGTAGGTATACTTGCAAACAACCATTATTTTCATATAAACACTATGATATTAATACCTACTCTTCAGTTTTGACATGAAGAATGACATACGTAAATAAAAAAATATATTATTCTTTTGAGTTAACATACAAAGCCTACTACCTATTCAAATGTCAAAACGTGTCAAAACCATCAAAAATCGTCATTTTCCAAGTAATTTTTTAATATTTCAGTGTGAAATTTTCTTACCGAATGCCACTTTCGCTTCAATTAATATCCGGGAATTTTTTCTCGAACACGAATATTTAGA